GGTGGAGAAGCTGGTGCGGAAAAGCATACCGGTCTGTACCTGCGCTCATTGAAGGGAACCTGGTGCAGACATTCATCGACGGCATCCGCGACCTGGAAGTCAGAGCTGCTGTGAGGCTCGGGCACCACGAGACGCTTAAAAAACGCCTTGGCCCATGCACTGGAGGTGGAAGCCGTGCGGCAGGATTATCGTTCCCATCGCCTCAGGGAGGTTGCAGCAGCTACAGTCCGTGACCGCAGCAAAGGATACAGCCCTAGGTGCTATGGCTGTGGGGAAAAGGGCCATCTTCGATCCAGCTGCCCTAAACGAACCGTGGAAAGGAGAGTTGATCGATCTCGAGAGGGTAGTGCAGCTAACGGCACTGCCTGGCGGCGACAGGATCATCGTTCACCTCAGCGCTAGGGAGGTTACAGCAGTTACGGTTCGCGACCACAATAAAAGATACAGCCCTAGGTGCTATGGCTGTGGGAAAAGGGGCCATCTTCGGTCCAGCTGCCCTAAGCACACCCTAGGAAGGGAAGGTGAACGGTCTCAGAAAGGAAGTGCGGCTAACATCACCGCCCAGCAACAGCCGGGATACGACTTTACTATCAGACACTGCAGCGGGAAATCTCACGGCAACGCAGATGCATTGACAAGAAGACCTTGTCCTGAAGATTGCAACCATTGTAGTAGGCAAGAGAGTAAGGAAGTGGTATCCGTGAGGATGCTCAGGACAGACCACCTCAGCAACGGGTGGAAGGACAGCCTACGACATGCACAGCAGGAAGATCCGGACATCAAGCCGATTCTGGGATGGATGAAGGCCCGTGCTACCAAGCCTAAGTGGAGGGACGTCTCAGCGATGAGTTCAACCACGAAAAGCTATTGGGCCCAATGGGACAGCTTGCTGATTCAGGATGAAGTCCTGTGCCGTAAATGGGACAATGGTCGAAGAGACAGCTATCGTTTGCAAATGGTTGTCCCTAAAGCTAAAGTGCCGAATGTTCTACAGCTGTGCCATAATGGTCGTTCAAGAGTCCATCTGGGAGTTAAACGAACTCTACTGAAGATCCGAGAACAGTTTTACTGGGTCCATTATCGTGACGATGTCGAGGATTGGTGTCGTACATGTACAAGTTGTGCGGCCGTGCGGGGACCTCAGACACGTAGTAGAGGAGCACCGAAATTGTACAATGTTGGTGCACCACGGGATAGGACAGCCCTTGACATTGCGGAGCCGTTACAGAAAGGCGCAAGAGGGATTCCTAAGATCGTCCATGTGAATCGCTTGGCGCGTTATTATGGGGCCGATAATGCTCGGGACGAGTATGTCTTAGTAGGGGGCAGTGTTACGCGCTCAAGTCGACGATACACTAGCGCCATCTAGTGTCAGGAACGAGAGCGAGGGGAGCATTGAGAAAATGACATCACAAATCACTTAACCGACAGCACCTAGTCGAAACTCGAACGCTCGGTACCTTGCGCGTGTTTACTTGAACATTCTGGATATTTCTTTGCTAATTTAAATATATAGGCGCTGCAAGATGCGATCGGGGCAGAGTTGAACTCGGCGACACAAGCGAAGCTTCGGAGCGGAATTAAGTGAATTAGTGTGTTTAATTATTAGTGTCTTTAGTTTTAATTTGTGTAAAGTAAATTAAAGTGTTAATTTAGGTAATTTTATCGGCAATTTTTATTGTCACGAACCTCAAGCTCGTAACAATAATATAACCCAATCCAAATTTCAAAAGATATTTAATGTACAGAAATTGTCGTGTAAAAGTTTTATTTACGCAAATAAGTCGTGCGAGGAAAAAAACCTCAATGGGTTCTTAAGCTTATATTGTGATACTAATTCCTCTGTTTATAATCGAAGAAAACAATTTTTAAATATATGGAAATAGGCTTATTGGCCTGTAGTATGTTATGCTCATTGGGTCCTTTTTTATGAATTAACCGATATAACACGTGTTTTATAACATTGTAATTAGAACGGTATACATTATTAGGAACAATTTGCATTATGTTAGTTTTTAAGAATGTGATTTAGGCAAAGACATTAGTCGAAACGTGTAAACGGTAGCTTTTTGTTATTAGTCCTACTCGCTTTTGATATGACAATATACACAATTCTCACATTTCTACTAAAATCTAATAGACCAAATTTCCACTTTTGTTTGGAGCAATCGCATCAGAGTGTTATGTACACTTCTAAAGCATCAAGATAAAGTAAACTGGAGATCAGAGGCACCAGAAGAACCTCTACTGATCCACACCCGAAGACAAACAATTTAGACATTTGCACAAAATGTTTGCTCCGATTGTGTTTTGAAATACCCTACGATGGTTGTTATAAACTTGCATATACACAAGTAAAGTACTACGAGAAACTGTTACAATATTTTATTTACTTAAGAACATATTTTACAGTTTAGAAGTTAAAGCTTCTTCCTCGTATAAGACTTAAGTGAGAAAGTTTTAAAGTAAATAATATAAAAGAAAGTCTTTGCGGAAATACATGTTTTATTGCAAGTTTATTGTTAACTTTAGTAAAACATAAAGAATAGCTTAAAGAACACCTCTGAACTCTACTCAGAGCTCCCTATTAGATTTTTTTAAAGAATATTAACAATGCTATAAATATTATTAATATTCCCCTTAACCACTCGTGGTAAGCTTAAATTGATTTTTACGAGTGGTTCACGCCAGTAATCGAATGGCGGATTCGAACCCACGACCTTCTTGAGTTCGCGGTCCGCGTCCTGTCATTAGGCTATTGTTGCTTCATAGGTTGATATACGCTCTTGTTGTTGTTGCTGCTGCACGTTTGGAAAGCGGGTTGGCAACCACAGATTGTTTTTCAAGTCGTTAGGAAGATGCTGATATTTATATTCCCTTCTTTACCATAATAAAGCTAATATACAGGTCTCATTTTATTAATATATACGTAGATATTAAATATTACAACAAAAAGTGCATAACGCAATTCGAGTCCAAGACAATTTAACCTTCATTCTGTATCCATATGCCCCATATAAAATGTGGTAGGTGTTGCTACGTATTCCCACTCGGAAAATAAATTCAACATATGCATTACGCAATTCTGCATTTTAATGCAATTACGAAAAGTTCATTTTTGTACTCTTGTAGCATGTTATAACTATGCCAAATTCATATCATAGGAAGATGCTGATATTTATCTTCCGTTTTTTACCATAAAAAAGCTAATATGCAGTTCTCATTTTATTAATATTATATTCGTAGATATTAAATATTACAACAAAAAGTGCATAACGCAATTCGAGTCCAAGACAATTTAACCTTCATTCTGTATCCATATGCCCCATATAAAATGTGGTAGGTGTTGCTACGTATTCCCACTCGGAAAATAAATTCAACATAGGCATAACGCAATTCTGCAATTTAATGCATTTACTCCCATTACTCCTCCTATTTACTCCTAACGTTGGTGTTCTGCGAAAGCGTGGTCCTTCCCCGGACGAGCCAACCCAACCTTCACAAAGCTGTAGCGTGGCCTCGGTATATTTTATGGGTTAATGAATAATAAATACAATGCAATATATTTAAGAGAAGCATTTTATGATTTCTCACATTTTACACATTAGTTGAAATTAATTTTACAGAAATTATTTAATTTTAACTTTTATATCAACACTGGTCGTTTCGAGTGCTATGTGTTACCCTTTATACTTTTCAATAAAAAATAAGTAAATTTAAATGCAATTAAATATATAACAATGGTTTAATTTTATAAGCATATTTTCGTTTGATACTCAACTGCAACTAAAAAAGTTATTTAAACCACTACTAACACAAAACAAAACAAAAACACACAAAATAAAGGTAAATTAGTAACAGCATATTAATAAGATAATGTTGTGAATGTATTTATTTTTAGTTACTAAGTACACATTTATAACATGGGTTAAGTACCTCTAAATGATTGATAAACTCTGACATGTGACCTGAGTTCAATTATGTTACTTATCTCGGGGAATCCTCTACGCGCAGTTCAGCCACCGTTTAAAAACTAGATGGTACAAACAAAGTTTATTATTTTTTCGACATTGATAGTATTTAATAAAAATTATTATTCAGTTTAGATTTTGTAAAACAAACATATTTGTTTCTACATATTTAAGATCATAGTTTTATGTGAGTATTTATATGTGAGGTAGATGAAAAAATACTCATATCCGTGTTTATATTGGTTATTAAATAAAGACATTTTGTAAAAGAGTTTAAATGCGGCAATAAAGGAGCACACATTCTACCTGGTGTGGTGGTAGGTGGAAACTTTTGCCCGTAGACTCAAACATCTATTCTCAGTTAAAAATGTGATGTCATCCCTGGGGACTAAGATTGAATGTATCGTCCGGCTCGTCTCCGGTTCTTGCCACTCTCGTGTTCACACATACGTGGTATTCTGCCAGGTTAAAACTTTGTGTTGGATTGAAAAACAAACTTTATTAAAAAGCTTTAAGTTCGTTTGACTGATAAAGTCGTATATTCTTTTTCGAAACATCAACCTATAATATTTTAATCCAGGATTTTTTTAAATTGTTGTTATAATAATATGTCAGATGATTATAACATGATATTTCTTAGGTTATAGATAAACTATGATACCATAAGTTCTCTTTATCTTAAGACTTTCTTAAGCAACCGCCAAATATCAAGTATCCCATTTATTGTTAATCATCACCGAATTATCAGTACATGGTTATGAACTACCCACCATTGTGGTTAAAATGAAATATTTTACAAACTAAAATGCCATAATCCAATATTCAAAGCAGTAATAGTTACTTCCAGTAAAGTGAATTCTTTGTGTTATATGTCTGCTACATTTTACACGCAGAACATCGGACAGTCAAATGTTCCGAGTTTGGAGTATATAAGCAAGTGCTGATTCAGTAACACATCAATTAGTAAAGGAACTTTGTCAGTAACACTTTGAATAAAAAGCGTTGAATAAAATAATAATATAAGCCAAAATGTTCAAATCCATAACAATAATCCTTTCAGTGTTGACGTTTTGCGCTAATGGTCGGTATTTAGTACAGGAAGATTACAGATACCCATATGTATTCGTTGAAGATGGTCGCAACGTCAGAGCTCACGACTTGGAAGAAGCTTTGTCGATACTTCCGCAGGAAATGTTCCACGAGAACAATATTTCGCGAGTACGTCGTCAAGCCCATGGAACTCTAAGTTCGAACCCCGATGGGACATCAAACTTTATGGCGAAGGTTCCACTAACTGTTAATGATAAAAACAAGCTAAGTGCAGTTGGTACTGTTAGTGGAGCGTCTGGTAATGGTGACTTCAAGGCAGCGGGTGGCAGTTTGGCTTGGGATAATGTGTAAGTTTGCTTAGATTATGTAAACCCAGGTTTATGACAATGACTATTTCGGGTACTAACTCGATATAAGTTGCTATTATGATTCATCACGATTCACATCCCATGTTGGGCCAAAATCAGTTATTGCGTCTATTTGTCTATAAATTTCTTATTAGCAGCCCGATGTCAGGAAGTGGGCGATGTTTCCCTGCTCTGATCTCTCTCCTGTCGTGTTGGATTGCCGTCCCATCACACAGTTCACACTATGAGAGTGAGGCATTGGAGAGAGCATCCGTGCTTGCTCATAAACTTTGGCACTATAACCCCGTCCTGCTCAGATGGATAGTCCCTGTTGAGAGCAGCCACCGTGGCTAATAGTTACTCGAAACTGTGTTAATTTGATAGTGTATTGTGATTTTTTTAACTTTGTAAATAATATTTTAAACCGTTAAAGATCATCATCATCATCGTTACAGACTATCACAAATCCACGGCTGGACATAGATTGCCTGATATGGGAGAAATTTGCTTTAGACGCCACGCTTTGCGGGCGCGACATTTTTATAAAATCTGTTATAATGAAGACGCTGTTGCCCATCTCCTGGCTTGATTGTCTTTGTTGCCTTTTACGCCACCCTTGGGACGATATTGAGAAGTGGACATTCTTACACAGCAACTACACGGTTATTCAAAGTAGTTAATTAGTATTAGTTCGTGCTTTCTTTTAAACATATTTATTATATCTAATAAGAAAATTAAGTAACGACGGTTCTCAAGTCCGTAAATAAAGTTTTTTTTGTTTTCCAATTTACTAAATCACTTAAATTTACAGCAATGGCCATGGCGCGAGTTTAACTGGACAGCATATACCTGGCTTTGGTAATCAATTGACTGCAGCCGGCAAATTGAATTTGCTTCACAATGATAAGCATGATGTTTCTGCTCAAGCTTTTGGAACGAGAAGCTTTCCCAGCAATCCCAACATTCCCAACTTTGACACATACGGTGGCAAAGTTGGTTACACATACGAGTAAGTATAAAAAGCTGTCCCTGTGTTGAGTAAAGCCACCAATTATTCTTTAATAAGTTTTATTTTATAGCATGGTAAGATATCGCCCCGCTGCCTCTAAGTTTTGAGGGCTCCGTGGCGTAGTGGCTTAGCAATAAGTTGCAGCGCTAAGGGCTACGTGTTCGAATCCCGGACGGAAAGAGTATTTGTATGGCCTAAAAATAATTGTTCCGGGTCTGAACGTTTGTCCTTGTGAAATTTATGTATGTGAACTGCCCCCATAATACAGAAAAAAACCTAGTGTGGAGATTTTTAAGTATTTTCCAACCAAAAAAGATAAACACATGATGGTAGACTTCCCATGTTCTTAATTTTATAAATTATTTGGACATTTAAGTTATTTCGTGACGTTCATTGCTGAGCACGAATACATTTAAGTAAAAGTAAGTAAAGTTAAGATTAAGCATGTAAGCACTAGCCTTCTTGACTCCATCGGCAGATCTGGTTTATGGACTTGCCGCCAACCAATATTCGAATGCGGAGGCAACCCTCAAAAATGAGAAGAAGCATGTGCAGTAGATCGTATAACTGTAACTTATTCTTATATTTCAGTGAGAAAGTGGGAGCTTCTCTTGGTATGCAACACACGGATCTTTTCAAAAAGACTGACTACTCAGCGATGGGCAATTACAACCTGTTCAAAGGGCGTGACTCTTCCCTTGACTTTAATGCGGGCTTGAGCAAGTCTGTGTCTCCGTACATACCTAGCAGCAGGTGGGAGCCAAGCGCTGGCTTCTCTTTCACTAAGTGGTTTTAAAACGTACAGCAAAAAAAGTTATCAATAAGAAAGCTTATAATATATTTCCTAATTAAATGATTAGTATTATTAGACTCTGTTTTATTACTATCATTAATTGCGTATGCTTCGTCAGTTTTTGTTTTGTTTATCGTTGGTGTCAGGTTTTTATGGGTAATTGTAACTTACAATCAAGTGAATATTAGCTCATTTTTCAAACCAACATTATAAGAAGATATAAAAATAAATACTTCAAAGGCTTATACCCTTTAGATATAATTCACATACAGTATACATATACATACAGTTATATGTATATAACAGTTTCGAAATGCATAGTACTGGCTATTTCTTAGTCTACGGGGAATAACATTATTGAAATTTCTGGCTGCATTTTTCTCCAGGGTGGCTCCATTTGTGAATCGAAATACTCGCAACGATTTTCCCTTATTACTACATAAGGGAAAATCGAAGTTATTCTTTATTTTTTCCTAATAATAGATAATAGTAAGAGGAAATAGTATTAATAAATTGTTAATTTTTTATTATCTCTTTATTATATCATCCGGGTGGGACACTGTTAATATATATATATATATATATATATATATATATATATATATATATATATATATATATATATATATATATAACAAGTAAAATAGAATAAAATATATAAAGTGTACATTATATTCCTGTTTATTTATTTGCGAAAATGTTCTTCTTTTTCGTTTTCTTTATCTTCTTGCTCAAGTCCATTGCTAAACATAGGCCTCTCCCGTTCGGGAGGGTTTCCCTAATCGTCACACTTGGAGGTGGATTAACGGTTGCAGGAGCAGACTTTTCTGACCTTTGACGATGCTGCCCGTCGCTGCTCTGGGAATTTACATATCATATATAGGAACCCATTGGATTTTTCTTTATTTTTCTGGTATTTCCCATAATTGCATTTTAAGATGCCCATGGAACAAAATATGGTGAAGAATTTTATAATTATGACGTAACCATACGGCTATGAGGAGATGAGATTGGTTGGTTTGATGCAACGCCAATATACCAAGTGTGTATATTATTAAATTTTATTATAAATATAAATAATATGGTGAATTTTATTACAAATACAGTTTCCAAGACAACTACTAAACATTTATTTCTTTTCAGATAAATAGTCTTACGCACACGTAAGAACAGTGTTTATGGAGAGCTGTTTACTTATTCATGAGATCGTCAAGATCTCGCATTAAGTAATTGATAGTGAACCCAGATGCCGGAATGCTTTCAGACTTTATTAAGTTGAAAGCATAGACTAAGTTTGAAAATGGATACAGACCTTTATGTAAATGTACGCACTATACTAAACTCTTGCGATTACATAAGGGTTAATGAGACGATTTTTCAAATAAAAGTTTTGTGTTATTTTAATACAAATAAATGTAAAAGTTTGAACGTTTATCGGTCGAGTACGCTTCTTGTTATGTAAAAGGATACTGCAGCTAAATATACTACTTTTTAATTTAAAAAAAAACCGACAAGTAGGCCTCGCACGCTAATTATTCCGTGGATTAATTAACGTGAGAATTATTCAATGGAAAACACCGAATATTGTGCTAGCAAAAATATACGTCGGACATCGGTCTACATCAAGATTAATGCTCCAACTGCAAATGTAAATTTGTAACTGCAAAAAATTGCCATTATTACAAATTAAGTTTCTTTTGGATTTTTTGCTTAACTAGTGCTTTGAGATACTGCTACTACTAGAAAAGCTACTAGGTGTTGATGAGTGACTTGGCGGAAATCAAAATATGTGGCATAAATTGGTCTTATCTGTTCATTGCATTGACTTAGAAGCTTGAAATCTTTACACCTTTAAGAAACCGTAGACCGAAGTATTGACATACATTTGAACTTTAATATAAAACATACATATATTTATAAATTTTTATATTTTCTTACCGTGTAGTGGCAGTTGAGAATATTTGCCGTGTAGTGGCGATTGAGAATATCCACTACCCCATATCTTCCCGTGGGTGTCGTAAGAGGCGCCAGAGGGAGACAGGCAGGAGATGGGCAGCAGCCTCTTCCTGATAACAACTGTGTTATAATAAAAAATTGCGGTTGCCAACCTGCTCGCCAAGCGTGGCAACTATGGAAAATATCCCCCCATGAATAACGACGCAAAAAAACGGCCCCCAGTCCCCGGCGGTCCCGCTATTCCTGGCTACGGTGTCGACCATGCTAACGGCGGGGCAGGGGGTGCTAAGAATCTCTGGTGAAGGTTCGGTTGCCACCTACGATGACTCGACCTGGCAACATATAACGCACGCACTCTGAGGACTGACGAGAAGATACTGGAGCTGGAAGAAGAGGTAGACAAGTTGCGCTGGCATATTATTGGATTATTCGAGATCCGAAGAGAGGGAAGGATACGGCAATCCTCGAGTCCGGCAGGTCATACAGGTTTACGCACCAACCTCGGCACATCCCGATGAGGAGGTGGAGGAAATGTATGAGGATATTTCCAGAGCCATGTATTCCTCCAAAACCCACTACACGGTGTTGATGGGAGACTTCAACGCAAAACTAGGCACAAGCGAAAGCGGTGAGCTGAAGGTGGGGAAATTTGGAGTAGGGCAACGGAACCGAAGGGGCCAGCAGCTGGCCGAATTTATGGAGAAAGAGGGACTCTTTGTGATGAACTCTTTCTTCCAGAAGCGGCCCTACAGGAAGTGGACCTGGTCGAGCCCCGACGGTTCGACAAAAAATGAGATTGACTTCATTATGACGACCAGACGCTAACTATTCAGTGATGTCTCAGTGATCGCAAGGGTGAAAACTGGCAGCGATCACCGAATGGTTAGAGGCACACTGAACCTAAATGTTAAGTTGGAGAGGTCTCGTCTAATGAAGTCAACGCTCCGTCCCCCTCGTGCTCTGATTCAGAATCCCGAAACCTTTCAGCTCGAGTTACAAAACCGCTTTCAGTGCCTAGAGGATTGCAATGCAGTGGACGATATGAATGACAAGCTCGTGGAAACTGTCCATCCAGTCGGAGCTAAGTTCTGCAAGACCCGCCGCAGAAGAACACAAAAACTCTCCGATCACACTCTTAATCTCATAACTGTTAGACGGAAGATGAGGCTGCAATCGTCAACAGATTTGACAGCATACAGGCAACTGAACAGACAGATCTCCAAATGCATGCGGCGAGACTTACGCAACTTTAATACTGCTCGTATTAAAGAAGCGATCGAGCGAAACCAGGGCTCCAAAGTCTTTGCCAAAAACGGCAAGGCCCCGGGCGAGGATAGAATTACAGCGGAGCTTCTGAAAGCGGGTGGAACACCGGTACTTAAAGTCCTTCAGAAGCTCTTCAATTCCGTCCTCCATGGTGGCACTACTCCGGAGGCGTGCAGCAGAAGCGCGGTGGTCTTGTTCTTTAAGAAAGGCGACAATGCTCTCTTGAAGAACTACAGACCGATTTCCCTTCTGAGCCGCGTCTACGTGCTGTTTTCGAGAGTCATTACGAATCGTCTCGCACGCAGACTCGACGACTTCCAGCCTCCCGAACAAGCCGGTTTCCGAAAAGGCTTCAGTACCATAGACCACATACATACCCTTCGGCAAATTGTACAGAAGTCCGAAGAGTACAATCTGCCACTTTGCCTGGCGTATGTGGACTATGAGAAAGCCTTTGATTCCGTCGAAATTTGGGCGGTGCTACAGACTCTTCAGCGGTGCCTAGTTGACTGTCGCTATATTGAAGTGCTGAAGTGTTTGTACAGTAGGGCTACGATGGCTATCCGAGTACAGAACCAGAGTACGAAACCTATCCAACTGCAGAGAGGTGTAAGACAGGGTGATGTTATATCCCCGAAACTCTTCACCGCTGCGTTGGAAGACGTTTTCAAGCTACTGGACTGGAAAGGATACGGTATTAACATCAATGGCGAGTACATCACTCACCTTCGATTTGCCGACGATATAGTCCTTATGGCAGAATCGCTGGAGGACCTTAGCACTATGCTCAATGACCTCAATGGTGTCTCCCAACGGATAGGTCTTAAGATGAACATGGACAAAACAAAGATCATGTTTAACGTCCATGTCACACTATGCTCGAAGTTGTTGACGAATACGTTTACCTGGGACAAATAGTCCGACTAGGTAAGTCCAACTTCGACCGAGAGGTCAATCGACGGATTCAACTCGGCTGGGCAGCGTTCGGGAAATTACGACACATCTTCTCGTCAGGTATACCTCAATCTCTGAAAACTAAAGTGTGCCAGTGCGTGTTGCCAGTGTTGACTTACGGATCTGAGACGTGGTCCTTCACCGCTGGCCGTATGAGGACGCTCAAGGTCGCTCAGCGAGCTATGGAGAGGGCTATGTTCGGAGTTTCACTGCGTGATAGACCCAGAAATGAGGATATCCGCAGTAAAACCAGAGTGACCGACATAGCCCAACGGATTAGTAAGCTGAAGTGGCAATGGGCCGGCCATATAGCTCGAATATAACCGATGGGGAAGAAAGGTTCTAGAGTGGCAGCCCCGTACCTGTAGGCGTAGTGTAGGGCGACCCCCCTCTAGATGGAGTGACGACCTGGTAAGACATGCAGGAAGTCGATGGATGCAGGTGGCTCAGGACAGTGGTTTGTGGCATTACTTGGGGGAGGCCTATGTTCAGCAGTGGACTTGTGAAGGGCTGTAATGATGATGATGATGATGATATTTTCTTATAAATTTCTACTCGTTCCTAAGCTAAGGTTATTTACAGATAGACGGACGGTCGGACGGGTGGATAAGAAAACGACCTTATAAGGTTTTCGTGTATTCGTTTTATAGTACGAAACCTTAAAAATAATATTCACAAAATATAGTGATAAGCAGTAGCATCAAGTGCTCCGTGCTAAAATACGTAAAATAGAGCATTTATGGAATTATTTCTGTTATCTTCCGTCTGACTGTCTATTACAGAACATATTTCGTTTTAACTTTTTTTAAATCATTTTAATAAAAAAG